CTCACGCTCTCTCTCTCTCTCTCTCTCTCTATCTCTCTCAGCCGTAAGTGCAAGCGACCCAGTTCCATGTCTAGCGGACGTCGTTGACAAGTCACTGCATGACAGTTAATAAATTCTACCTGCCATCCGTCCGTGCTCAGACAGACAAACGATGTACGCACCATCTGCCTACGTCATCGCCTGTCGATCCACACCAGCTGTGTATCGATGTGTACCGATGTGTACCGATGTGTATCGATCGATATGTGCGAGAATTTTAGAATGAGCTCTGGAAGCTGATTATGAGCAACATGCTTGCATATCAATATTTCAGTCGGATGAAGAGTGAGAGAGAGAGAGAAGGATATTTTCAGCGTTGATATAATAGTTAAAGTCCGTAATTATTATAATCGCAGTAATGCGTGCGAAAATAATATAGAGGGCTTTTTTGTTCCGAGCAGACTAGAGCAGACGAGACAATATCGTTGGCGCGCCGATGAAAAAAAACAAGTGCATTTTTTACACGAACTAACGATCACACGTCGTAATTAGGATGAGACAAAGTGGGCCGTTGAGTAAACATGTATCGGGATAGTGTACTGTATGTATTGTGTAATGATGCAGGCAATTTTAGAAGGCAGCCATTTCCAGGCATACAGGGAGGTACGCATTGTTAATTCGTGCCAGCTGGTAATTACTTAGCCGGGTCTGGGATTAAACACCCGGTATATAAATTCTTCTTTAATCTTCCTCTTATTATTATTATCAAGAGTTAATAATATATTAATTATTACATGTATTTTAAGCTCCTGTTGTTATTATTATCATTAATTATTGATAATTAATTAATTAATAATTAATTGTTGTTATTATTATCATTATCGCTACATAATTTATCGCAGGCATGTAACGCCGGTTAAATGTGGTTAAATGTGTTTTCTTCTCAGTAGAGCGCATAGATCTTTGTAGCAGTAGTTAGTGAAGGAAGGATAAGAAAGCTGTCACTTATATGCAGGACAGATGCACTGCGGCATTACATCAAA